ATTTCTGTCTGTTTGTTTGCTGGGGACTTTGATTTGCTATGTGATATTTCTGTGTTGGGTTGGAATTTTGGAATTCTGGGGTAGATTTAAGAGGTATTTGTAGCTTTTCTAGTCTGATTGGGACATTCAGGCGTGGGCTCACAGCTCCGCAGGGAGGAGAGATTTACTGGCCCTGATCCTGCCTGTGACTGTGTTTTGTTTGACTTGCTGTTCTGAAAGCATCTGTAACTGATTTCACAGCTGTGGTGGCTTTTCTGGCTGGTAGGGGGATGGCTTCACATGCAGCTGCTACTCCTTGAACTGGGGTGGACTGCTCACATGGCTGCTGTTCCTTGAGTGGGGGCTGGCTGCACGTTGCTATTGTTCCTCTGATGTGGTGGGCTGCTTGTGGGGCTACTGCTCCTTGGACTTGGACAGGTTGATTGTAAGTCTGCTGCTCCTCAGACAGGAGTGGGCTGCTTGCACTGCTGCTACTCTTTGGATGGGAGTGAGCTGCACACGTGGCTGCTCCTCCTCAGATGGGGACGGGCCACTTACCCAGCTGCTGCTCCTCGGACAGGTGCAGGCTGTTGTGGTTCTGCTCCTCGAACTGGCGTGTGCTGCGCAGGGCTGCTGCTCCTCAGACGTGGGCGGTCTGCTCCTGTGGCTGCTGCTGCTCCTCAAATGGGGATGGGCTGCTTGCAGAACTGCTGCTCCTTGGATGGGGGCAGGCTGCTCACACAGCTGCTGTTCCTCGAATTGGGCAGGCTGCTTGTGCAGCTACTGCTGCTTGGACGAGGGTAAGATTCTTGTGCAGCCTCTGCTCCTCGGACTAGTGCACGGTGAGGGCTTTGTGCAGCTGCTGCTCCTTGGATGGGGGCGGGCTGCACAGGGCTGACGCTCCTCAGACGTAGGTAGACTGCTCGTGCGGCTGCTGCTCCTCGGACAGGTTGGACTGCTTGCGTGGTTGCTCCTCCTCGGACGAGGAAGCGGGCCACTCACACAGCCTCTGCTCCTTGGACAGGGGTAGGCCACATGAGGCTGCTGCTCTTAGACCTGAGGCTGGCTCCTCACGTGTCTGGTGCTCACATGGTTAAAAACATAATGTGAAAAGAAGTAGAAAGTAAACAACAAACAAGAAAAGGAGAACAAAGAAAAAAGCAGAAAAAGAGCAAATGACAAAAAAAGGGAAAATAAAGAAAAAAGCAAAAAAAAAGCTAACAAAATAATATTAAAAAATAAAAATGAAAAATTGAAATGTCATTCCTTTGGCTGGCTTAAGATCCCAGTTTTCAGGAATGTCTGTGCTTTTTGTTGTTGTTGTTGTAATTGCTGGGACTGAAAGACCCTCTATAGGCGAGACCTTGTTAACTCCCAGGGACTAATCAGATTATTTTAATCCTTCATTTTTTTGCATGTATCTGTCCAATTTTCCCAACACCATTTTTGAAGAGACTATCATGACCCCATTGTATGTTTTTGCTTCCTTTGTCAAATATTAATTGATCATAATGGTTTGTGTCAATTTCTGGGTTCCCTGTTCTGTTCCACTGGTCCCCTTTCTCTCCCCAGCCTCTCCCCAGATTCCACTCGTCAGTACCTTCTCCCACTCTTCAGTACAGGTAAGTGTCTGTATCCGAAATGTCCTATGAACAGTTTGTACCAGTACCAGGAAGTTTTGAGAACAGTGCCTTTGTAGTATAGTTTGATATCTGGTATTGTGATCCCTCTAATATTGTTCTTATTTATCAGGATTATTGAAACTATTTGGGGTCTTTTTTTATTCCAGATGATTTTTTGGCTGGCTGCAGAAACGAAGAGGACTGATTCTCTGTAAGCTCCTCTCTTACTGGCACTGCATGCTCTGGTCAGTTCTTCAGGCTGCCCCCTTTAGGCTCAGTCCTCCGTAATTACTTAACCCAGATCTCAAATCCTCCAGCGCCAACAGTCCCTCAGATCTCCTTTCCACAGTCAGGGGCTGTGCCCATCCCAAGGGATGCGGCTGGGTGCTGCACGGTCTCCCTCTGACCCTCTGGGCTCAGAGATCTGGCAAACTTTCCTGCCCAGATCCCTGGTTTTTACGTTTCCAGGGGAACTCTGCCCTTCCCGGCTGCAAACTGTCTCACTAGCTGAGTATACTTCGCCAATTCGGGGTGGATGTTATTAGTTTCAGCTGCTCATTCTATTTGCTTTGGGACAAGCCTTGGGACGCGTCTGCCTATTCCGCCGCCTGGTTTTCCATGTACAATATCATGTCATCTGTGAATAAGGCCAGTTTTACTTCTTTTCCAATTTGGATGCCTTTTATATCTTCTACCTGTTTGACCACAATGGCTAATACTTCCAGTACTATGTTGAACAGGAGTGGTGAGAGTGGGTATCCCTGTCTCATCCCTCTTCTTAGGGAAAATGGTTTTAGTTTTTGCCCATTGAGTATGATGTTGGCTGTGGGTTTGTCATATAAGGCTTTTGTTATGTTGATGTATGATCCTTATATTCCCACCTTGCCTTGAGTTTTTATCAAAAAAGAGTGTTGGATTTTGTCAAATGCTTGTTATGCATCAGTGGATATGATTATATGGTTTTTATCTCTCAGTTTGTTTATGTGGTGTATCATGTTTATTGATTTGTGGATATTGTACCATCTTTGCATCCCTGGAATAAATCTCACTTGGTCATGGTGTATGATCTTTCTAATGTAATGCTGGATTTGATTTGCTAGGATTTTGGCATTTATATTCATGAGGAATATTGGCCTGTAATGGTCTTTCTTTGTATTGTCTTTACTAGTTTTGGGATTAGCGTAATGCTGGCTTCTCAGAAAGAGCTTGGAAGTATTCTTCCTCTTGAATTTTTTTGTAATAATCTGAAGAGGATAGGTTTTAGTTCTTCTTTGAATGTTTGATAAAACTCCCCTGTGAAGCTGTCATGTCCAGGGCTTTTGTTTGTTGGATGCTTTTGATTATTGCTCAATGTCCTCCATAGTTATCGCCTGTTCAGATTTTTTTTTTATTCTCGCTGAGTTTTGGAAGGTCGTATTTTTCTAGGAATATATCCATTTCTTCTAGGCTGACCAGTTTGTTGGAATAGAGTTGCTCATAGTATTTTTATTTATTTATTTTCCATTTCTTCTAGGTTGACCAGTTTGTTGGAATAGAGTTTCTCATTGTATTTTTTTTATGATTCTTCGTATTTCTGTAGGGTCTGTTGTTATTTAGCCTCTTTCATTTCTAATTTTGTTTATTTGGGTCCTCTCTCTTTGCTCCTTGGTGGGCCTGGCTAGAGGTTCATCATCTTATTTATCCTTTCAAAGTATCAGCTCTTGGTTCATTGATTTTGTGTGTGTGTGTCTATGCATTTATTTCTGCTCTGATCTTTATTATTTCCTTTCTTCTGCTCACTCTGGGGTTTTCTTGTTGCTCTCTTTGTAATTCTTTAAATTGCAGAGTTAGGGGGTTTATTACCATTTTTTATTTATTTCTTATATTTTTCTTTCTTTCTTTTCTTTCTTTCTTTTTTTTGAGGTAGGCTTTTAATGCTATACTAGTAAACTTCCTTCTTAGGATTGCTTTTACTATGTCCCCTAGATTTTGGATTGTTGTGTTTTCCTTGTCATTTGTTTCCAGGATTTTTAAATTTCTTCTTTGATCTCTTTGGTAACCCACTCATTTTTTTAAAAAAAAATATATATATTTTATTGATTTTTTACAGAGAGGAAGGGAGAGGGATAGAGAGTCAGAAACATCGATGAGAGAAAAACATCGATCAGCTGCCTCTTGCACAACCCCTACTGGGGATGTGCCCGCAACCAAGGTACATGCCCTTGACCAGAATTGAACCTGGGACCCTTCAGTCCCCAGGCCAACACTCTATCCAGTGAGCCAAACTGGCCAGGGCCCCACTCATTTTTTAATAGTATGTTATTCAGCCTCTAAGTGTTTGAAATTTTATGATTTTTTTATTGTATTTGATTTCTAATTTTATGCCATTGTGATCTGAGAAGATGCTTGATATGATTTCAATCTTCTTGAATTTGCAAAGACTTTGCCTATGTCCCAATATGTGGTCTATCTTTGAAAATGTTCCATGTGTGCTTGAGAAGGATGTATATTCTGTAGTTTTAGGGTGAAGTGTTCTAAAGGTGTTTATTAAGTACATTTGAACTAGTGAGTCATTTAGGGTTGCTGTTTCTTTGCTAATTTTTTGTCTATAGGAGTTATCCAGGGATATTAATGGGGTATTAAAGGCTCCTACTGTGATTGTATTGCTCTCAATCTCACCACTGATATCTTCCAGACATTTTTTATGTACTAGGTGTACCAGTTAATAATGCAAATTTTTCAATAGATAGAGTTACACATATGTTGATATATATGTGAATTGATATATATGCTATTTTGTTATATTGACAACAAGCTTCAAAACTTCATATGTCAAATTTTCTGAAGGTGTTAACATCATAGATATTTTTACGCTTAAAAATGTCAAATTTCATGCCAAAAAAGAGCATTTATGGGATGTCTTAATTCATTATTTTATTTTGAAGAAAAGTGCTGCTGAAAGTTATTGTATACTTTGGGAAGCTTATGGTGAACATGCTCCATCTCATGATACTTGTGAATCCTGGTTTAAATGCTTTAAAAGTGATGATTTCTGGTTATTTCTATTGGCGCGGTTGCGGAGTGGCCAACGGAGTGCCAACGGCCTGCAGAACAACATACTGAAGTTTTATTGTGACTACTGTGATACGTATCTCACCGATGACTCTCCATCTGTGAGAGAGACACACTGCAGTGGTAGGAAACACAAAGAGAATGTGAAAGACTACAATCAGAAATGGATGGAAGAGCAGGCTCAGAGCCTGATTGACAAAACAACTGCAGCATTTCAGCAAGGAAAAATACCTCCTACTCCATTTTCAGCTCCATCTCCTGCAGAGGCGATGATCCCACCTCCCCCCGGTCTTACAGGTCCACTTTGCCCTGGTATGATGCCAGCACCCCATAAGGGGGGCCCTCCCATGATATCAATGATAGTTCCTCCTCCTGGGATGATGCCAGTGGCACCTGCTCCTGAAACGAGGCTGCCTATGGAAGGGCACATGCCAATGATGCCTGTGTCCCCAGTGACAAGACCTCTCGCCCATCTCATGATGGTGCCCACTTGGCCCAGAAAGATTCGACCAGATGGATAAGGAGAAAGGGGAGCCTCTTTCTATCAGGCGTCTGTTGCTTGTTTTACTTCACATGGGATCAAGGTGCTGTGACTCTGGGTGTTTTCTAACAGCAGACAAGGAAGACTCACTCCCTCTTCCTAAGAGAGAATAGTTTTTGAGGGGAGTAGTGGGACAAAAAAACACACACAACAATTTTCATTTGTATTGTGAAATGTGAAAATAAAATTGTCAACTCTTTTTGTTAAAAAAAAAAAGGTGATGATTTCTACGTGCAAGACAAAGAATGTTCAGGTCAATTTGAACCACGCTTTGATTGTAAAACAATCAGAATGGGCCAGAAGACATGGCAAAGTAATTTTGCTTAATGATCATGCACCATCACACACTTCAAAACCTGTTAAAGATACATTAAAAGATCTTGCCTGGGAAGTATTAACCCACCGGCCGGATTCACCAGATCTTGCTCCTTCAGATTACCACTTGTTCTGATTGATGGCACACACACTTTCTGAGCAGCACTTCAAAACATATGAAGAAGTGTAAAATTGGGTCTCTGAATGGTTTGCCTCAAAACAAGAAAAGTTCCATTGGGACGGTTTTCACAAATTACCTGAAAGCAGGGGGAAATGTGTAGCTGGTGATGGACATTACTTTGAATAAAGCACTCTTGATGTTTCTCTTGAAATTATTGTGTTTTGTTTGATTACAAAATATGCATTATTAACTGGTACACAGAAGCTCCTGATATTTGGGTGCTCTTTCATTGGGTGCATATATGTTTATCAGATTTATATACTCTTGTATTGATCACTTTAGAATTATGAAGTGGCCTTCCTAGTCCCTTGTTATGGTCTTCTCTTTGAGGTCTATTTTGTCAGATATATGTATTTCTACCCCAGCTTTTTTTTTAAATTTTCATTTGCCTGATAGATACTTTTCCATTCCTTCACTTTCAGTCTGTATGAGTTTCTTGTTCTGAGTTGGGTCTCCTGTAGACAGAATATATGTGGATCATGTTTTCTTATCCATGCATTCACTTGATGTCTTTTGATTAGAGCATTTAATCCATTTACATTTAATGTTATTATTGATAGATACATATTTGAAGCCATTTCTGTACTTTATGCCTGTGTTACTTCCTCCCTTTCTATTTCTTCTTTTAACAGCATTCCTTTTAGCATTTCTTGCATTGCTGGCTTGGTAGTGGTTAACTCCCTTAGCATTTTTTTCTTTTTGCCTGTGAAATTCCTGATTTCCCCTTCAATTTTGATCGATAGCCTTGCTGGATAGAGTATTCTTGGATTCAGTCCTTTGCTTTGCATCTCTTTGTACACTTCATTCCATTCCCTTCTAGCTTGGTGTGTTTCTTTTGAGAAACTACTTGATAATCTGATGGGGGATCCTTTGTAGGTAACTCTCTGTTTCTCTCTTGCAGCCTTTAAGATTCTCTCTTTGTTGTTAACATTTGCCATTGTAATTATGATGTGTCTTGGTGTGGGTCTTTTGGGATTCATCTTTCTTGGGACTCTCTGTCTTTGTGAGACTCCTCCCCACCTCCCAAATCAGGGAAGTTTTCCGTCATTATTTCTTCAAAGAGATTCTCTAATCTTTGCTACTCTTGTCTTTCTGGAATCCCTATTCTGTATGTTATTTCATTTCATATTGTCCCAAAGCTCCCTTAAGCTCTCCTCCTGTTTTTTAAATTTTTTCTCCAGTTGGTGTTCAGATTGGCTTGATTCTTTACCTTATCTTCTAACTCACTAATTCAGTCCTCTACTTCTTCTAGTCCTCTGTTAAAACCTTCTATAACGTTTTTGATTTTTAGCTATATCACTTTTGATTTCTTCCTGATTTTTACATAGGTTGTTGATTTTTTCATCCATCTAGTTTATGAACTGTATGACCATTACTCAGAATTCTTTTTCTGTTATATTGCATGCCTCCGTTTCACTTACTAGTATTTCCTTCCTTGGTGATTCCTTTTTCTTTCCTCTGGGGATTGTTTCATTGCCTCCCCATTCTATCACTAGAAAGTCCAAACACTGACACCCAAGTGTCACTGAAGAACTTCGACACCGAGATGTGTGGCTGTTGTGGGTCAGTGGGTCCTCACACGTGCTGAGAATCAGAGTCAATGGCACTCAGTGCAGCCTCGTGCACGTACCTAGAATCAGGAACCCCACATGCGCCATGCTGAGAGAAAGTTCCTGTGGGCATGTGCTGAAAATCAGGGTCCCCTAGTGCTCACCAGGAGTCAGAGTCCCTGTGTGCACATGCCAATAATAAAGTATGAGTCTTTGTGGTTTGGTGCAGCCTTGCACCGAGAATCAGGGTCCCTGTGTGTGCATACACTGAAAACTGGAGTCACTGGCACTCAGTGTGCATACATTGAGAATCAGGGATCTTGTGCGTGTGCAGTGAGAAACAGAGTCCTGGTGTGTGCATGCTGAGATTCAAGTCACTGGTGCTCAGTGTTGCCTTTTGCAGGGGTGGGCTCAAGAGGCGTACCTGAGGGAAACCACCCACTGCCCATACTATCACGAGAGTGCATCAAGGAATGCAGAAGGGTGATGGACCTTGGGTGTTGGCAGGGCTAATACCATGCACCATTGTTCTGCTGAGATAGTGGTGGCTTGAAGCAATTTCCTGGCCTATTAGCCTCAAAGTAAATGTTTACTGAATCTTACTGATCTTTACTGATCTCTATTGACCTTAGAGTTGGTCTGTCTGCTACCTGTTTGCCGTGCTTTACTGAGGGCAAGATGTGTATCTAAAATCGAATAAAAAGCGAACAAGGCCAGGTTTTGGTGTGCCTCTCCAAAAGAGAGGATTCCACCTGGCCCCCATGCCTTCTAAATTCATATTTCTTGTCTAGTGTTTTCATTTATGCATTGGCTCCTCCTTCAGATCTTGAACCTCTGCTGCAAAAGATTGCGGCATTCTGGCACCACAAATAGGAATCTGGAGAAGATTCACCTGAGCAAAAAATGAAGTAAAAAAGAAAAATTGGAAATTCACCAGAAAGGTGGGAAGTTCACCACGCACAAAGCCTGTGCCAACTTCTGAGTCTCAACTGTAAGTGGATGAGGAACATTTTGATTCAGCCAGGTTATAATGAGGGAGAATTTGAGTAAAAGGCAAAATCATCACTGTAAATTTTTAGCTTGCATGCTCAAGGACAAAGGGATTAAGGTGTCAAAAAGTACTTTCTTAAATCAGGCTCAAGGAAAATGAGTGCCCTTGTCATCTTTAACTATGTGGGCTCTTGTTCAAACTGCATTATGCCCACTTCATATTGGGGATCAAAAGTGTGTAACACCTAAGGCCTCAGATCCTCTGCCTCTAGTGTGGGAAGGCTCAACAGCTAGAGAAAAGGGGGTTAACAGTCATTTTACAAAAGGACTCTTTAATGCTTTGTCTGAAAATTACCATATGACACCTTGGGACAGGCAGGTTTTAGCTAAGACAGGTTTAGACACCAGTCAGTGTTATGGAGAGCAGAATAGGATAAGATCTGTAAATAACAGGCTGAGGTCTAGGCTGCATTCTGGTTGTTAGTCCCAAGCAATGTAAAACATTGGAAAGATCCATCAAAAGAACTCTGATTTATTAAGTCTTGTGTTATGCTTGCTTGTCTGTTGATTGTTGTTTTATCTGTGTTTGTTGTCTGCTTTAATTTGTTTATTGTTAGTCTATTAAGCATGACTTCAATTTAATTTAATAGAAAAGAAACAGTAGATGGCCAGGCCATTACTAAATTTCCCCAGAACAAAACAGAATATGAGGGTGGGGACAAAGAATATGAGTGGTACACGTGGACAATAATATAGGTCCTAGGAAAATTCCTTAGACAAAAGGAGGTAACTAAAAAAAGGGCCCAGCTTATTAATTACTAGTTCTTTTGGTGATCTTGCAAAATGGATGCCCACTCCCAGGAATGTCATAAAAGTCTCATTTCACCATGTCTTTTATTTCCCAGTCATTTGAAATTTGAATAAATGAGACATTTCTCACAATTTAGGGATACCATCTGGGACTTCTATACCCTTGAAGAGAAAAAGACTAGTTCAATGGGGAAGTGCCCCACTCAGTTTTGGTTGGTCTCTTGGCCTAAGACCCATCTCTTCACGGATGCTATAGAATAGGCCACAGACTCTTTTTCTTTAAAAGATGGCAAAAATGACATAAGGAAAATATACAGGTTGGGTTTGGGCAACAAAATTAGTGTTTTCATAATAACAGGTAATTCTTGAGTAATAATGGACTGCATTCCAAGGTTGACTCACAGGTCCAGGGAGCACTCCTGTTTTTATAAAGGAAAATAAAATAAAATAATACTTTAACATTAAAGCCACTGAAAGCCAGTGAGTTATTTGTTACAGAATTTTCCAAAGAAAATGCCTTGAATAATAATAATTGGCTTTAAAATCTCAAAGTTGTTAAGGCAAAATATACATAAATAAAATGAAAGGTATATGGCAGTGATGGCAAACCTTTGGAGCTCGGCATGTCAAAATTTTGAAAAACCCTAACTTAACTCTGGTGCCGTGTCACATATAGAAATATTCATAATTTTTTTAAAATATTTTCAACCATAGTAAAAAAAGATTTATATTTTTGATATTTATTTTATATATTTAAATGCCATTTAACAAAGAAAAATCAACCAAAAAATATGTATAAAATGAACAAAAACATAAAAACAATGTACATTTAGGAAAAAATAATAAAAACAAGGATAATCAAATGGTAAGAAAACTAGAAATTAGTGACTTTTTTGGTGCTGAAATTTGTCTGCTAATTCTTTGATTGCAGGTTCATACTTGGTGCACTTCAAGGCCAAGCAAGTGACACTAACTTCATCTGTTAGCTGGTTTCTTTTGTTCATTTTAATATTATTTAATGCTGAGAAAAAAGTTTCACAAAAATATGTTGATGAAAAAATTGTTAGCAAAGCCATCTCTAGATTTTTTATTTCGCTAAAAGTGTCAGGTCCTCTGTTCCAAGCACTCAAAATT